GCTACGTAGCCTGTTAGCTAGTAATCATTACCCTTTTCCTTGTATTTTTTAATCCCCCCCCCCACATTATAGTTGACATACAAATGAGTAATTTAGGAAACTTTGCTCTCTCCCTCCTCTCTCTCTCTCTCTCTCGATACTTTGGATCCCGTAATTTTACATCATTTTATGGTGAAATTTTGTGATTGCAGCCTTTGTCTACATGAACATCAATTGGCTATTAAACGTCACGACATTTCATCACTCATTTCAATGCATATGGATAATTATGAACATGAATTCAATCTCGACAATGTAGAAATTTTAGATGGAGAGAGGAAACACAAAAAATATCAGAGAATTCCTAGAAGCTTGGCATTCAGGTCAGTCAGCAATCAACAGATGTATAGACGTAGACCCAATCTGTCAACCGATAAGAAAGATGATAAACAACAGAAAGGTCAGAGGTCAAGCAGATGGATAGCCAACAGGAAAGTCTATACAATCAATGACACAACAATCAAAGGAAACAACCAATCACAGACCACTTCGTCAAGGCAAGCTACTAAATCACCCACGGAGAGATATTGACAGCTTACTTCATAGTGAAGTTAGTGCTGATGATGTCGTCTAGGAAGATGATGAAAGCTACACGATTAAACATCCCAGCTCAGAGAACACAATACAACCAAGAGCATTGGACTGTACACAGTTGACTAATGTATCTGAAATGAAATGGTGACACTGTGTGCCATATATCAAGTATACTAGGTGATAATTGAAGGTGAAATGAAAATTTGGACTGTAGCCGGAATCGAACCACCGACCACTCGACCACCATTGAACTATGAGGCCCATCTACTGACCAGATTTTTATTTCACTTCAGTCACCAAAGCGTTTTGTCCGACTACATATCAAATATAAAAATCTAATATGACTGAATGACAAAATCGACAGCACCACAGGTTGCCATACTTTACAGTAGTGTACAAAGAACAAGTGGACGGAAAAGGAGTGATGTCAAACTAGACAAAGTTGTAAAAGAGAATAAACAGTTTGAAGATGACGGTTAATGTAAACAATCAAGCTTTTGAAGACATCAAAGAATAAATAAATCCCCACCATTGTGACCGATTTTCAGCCATGTCACCGAGAGTCCTCAACCACTAACTCCTTTCTTCTTGGGGACCCCAGCCAACCAGGCAGTCTTCATCTCCCAACACGGCTCAGACCAACGGTCAGAGACTTCATCAACTGATGTCACGTCTCGGTCTGGTCACCATCAACCCTCTTGCAGCCCAATCCAATCCCCCTCTAACATGGTACGTCGAGGTAGGCAGTGGCTTAGCATGGTCAACACAAGTGCATAGTATGGTTCAATTTGAAGTTGGTATACATCACGAACTGATATCAGTTGGAGAAGCATTGAAAACCTGGGAGTACTGGATACCTGTTTCGTCTCAATGTGGGACTTCTCAGCAGTGCGCACCTATGACTTCGCCATAATGAATACTAACCTGAAATCAACAAAATTCCCACGAACCTTCAAATTGAATGACTGTCTAGTGTTCATTATTGAGTTGCTTCAAGGTGAGATTTTTCGAATTTCTAACGAGTAATCATGACCGCTGCGTCGGACATGAAGACAGGTACTCAACGATGGCATTTGATGGAGGTGGAGCTGCATCGTTAACTGAAAGAAGCAGGAATACATGAACCATTGGATTCCGACCCAGTGATTCAATGGTAACGTCCTCACCGTGAAAACTGAATTTTTTTCTTTCGATCCCTGAGGAGGAGGAGGCGAGATCATGGGTGCTCACTGCTGCGACTGATTTCAGTCCATGATGAATGCCAACTTGAAATCCAATATGGAATTACATTCTACCATAGTGCTCAAGTTGTTTTACACTTCTGTTCTCAGTAGGTTGACTGTGAAACAATGAACTCAGGCTTTTTTTTTATTACTAAGCTTTTCTAACTTTTCTCCGGTTCAACCGGTTAACCTCACCAACCTTAGTGATCAAAAATTAGATGACATATTCATTGATTCACAATCAACTTACCGTCTGGGCTGATTATTCAGTCTAAATACACTCAACCAATAGGAAACATAGAATCTAATAATAGTAACGATCCTCACAACACACATACACATACACACACTTCATCTTATTGTGAGGAAATAAAACATTTTCACAATAAATTTTGGCTAATTTGCCTGACCTCAACCCACCCTATATACATATATACGTGTATTGTAATAGCACTCTGTTGTGTGCATGCACTTGAGGTACATTAAGATATGCCTAAAAAACGAGCTTAAGCATGTCGTCAATCTGTGATTGTATTTCGGTGAATTTGTTATTGTGTTGTGTTGTGCTGCGTGTATTTTTTTCCTTAACATTTGAGCATGTTAATAATAATAAGTATGCCCCTCCAAAACGATCGATATTATTATTTGCTACCCACACAAAGTGGAAGACTGAGTCACAGTGGAATATCGATTTTTTTTCTTCCGAATCGACCAATCAAATAAGATGCCAATTTGTCACGTTGTGTGCAAATTAAGTGTGACCAGTGGAGATATTCATGAAATTTAAAGCCAAAAATATGGTCAATATTAAAACAATGAGCCATTGAAGGTATGTCTGAACGAAGTGAGAGGTGGTAAATAATCTTCCCTTCCCACCCACATCAAATCGATGAAGTATTTAAAACAAGAGGGCACATTTTGTTGATTGAGCTTTAAACTAGGACTAGCTACTGATTCAGACATTGATACTGGATGATGATTGAAGGTGAAATTCATTTCATTTCATCTGGATCGTGACGGACTCGAACCAGCGGCCACAGAGTTTCCTGCTCGATGCTCTACCAATTGAGCTACGAGGTCCAAGTACTACTCAATATAATCAAATCAACACACCATACTCAGATTTTTCAACATCACCTTAGCGATGGGATGTTCAGACACTAGGGGGACACACTGAAATCAGAGACGATCACAACTAGATGACTATTTTACTGAACCGTATTAACCAGGCTCTGTTGGTTGGTATATAGGCTCACATAAAAGTACGCATATCCATCCAGGTGATGAGTCCTGAATATGGAAGAAACGCGGATCTTGAATTTCACTGCTAGCCACCATTGAGCAAATCAGATTATTTTGAATGAATCTTATCATAGGTGGTTTTACTTGCCCCAGGTATAGTGGGAAGAACCAGTTTCTGGAGAGTAGAGTTCTTCAAGAACACTGTCGTTTAAAAGACAGTCCTTATATGATATCATATGAAACATAGGTAGGCATCATACTTCCAGCCATTTGTAAGACCTTGTCCTGCTGAAACTACATGTGAACTCTGGGTTCAAAATTTACTTCAGTAGTTAAGACAGGATTTTTTTCGACACAAGACATAGAAAGCTTGGGATAATAACAAAACGGCTGAGATCAAGTATACTAACGAAAGAGATTTCATTACGTAAGAAGCCTTAAAGAGTAAACTGAGCAGATTTACGAAATATCATCGTACCTACACGGCTGTGAGATATACCTGTTACGAGTAGATGTAAAGCGACTACACGGCTTTTGATCCCAGGTGTCTTCATAGTATTGTTCCTGTTTGGTGGAATCACCATGTGAACAATGTCGAGGTCACGCTTAGGTTACTAGGCATGACAGGAAAGTCAAGTGATGAGATTGTGAAACTTAGTCGACTGAGGTAGATTGGGTATATAATGTGCATGCCAGCCCACTGCCTATACGTTGACGTGCAACGCTGGAAGTAGTTGGACTAGATTGGACGAGGATTCAGGGTGACCAGAAAAAGACGTGGCACCAGTCGATTAAGTTTTTGACTGCTGGTCTCAGGCGTGTAAGGAGATGTTGACTACCTAGATTGGGTCCCTGAGACGAAAAGAATCAGTCAGTGGTTGAGGAATCTTAGCAACACAGCTAGAAATCGGTCTCAATGGAGGAAATGTTATGATAACTATTTGACGTCTTCTGAAGCTTGGAAATTTGCAAAAACCTTTAGTTTTAAATACATCCTCCTCCCGTACATCCTTGTCTACTTGGGTAAAGTGACTTAAAGGCCACACTAGCAACAACTGAAATAACCAATTAAGTTTTTGTATTTCGGCAGACTTTCATAAAATAGAGAAATCTGATTGGTTATTTCAGTTGTTGCTACAGTTGCCTTTAGAGTTACTCCATTTGTGCTTATAGGCATCGAGTGACTTTAAAAGCCACCCTGACAACAACTGGAGTAGCCAATCAGACTTCTCTATTTTATTAAAATTAACCTTTCCAGCCTAAGCAAAGAAACCTGATTGGTTATTTCTTTCGTTGCTAGGGTGGCCTTTGAAGTCGTCCGTTATTTCAGCTCGAAAGTTAGTTTTTTATAAAATACAGAACTCTAATTGGTTATCTTAGGAATTGTTAGCATGATCTTTAAATTCACAGAGAAATGTTAAACATAGAATACATAAACTAGAATAGAGTCTAAAGTTCATCCTAGTAAGCATCAATCTGACTAATTCGAGTGAATTAAAAGGTCGCGCTAGCAACTGCTGAAGTAACCAATCAGCTTTCGGTATTTCGAATGGGAAGTTAGTCACTATTAAAATAAAGAAATGTAGCTGATTATCACGCTAGTCGTAGGGGTGGCCTTCAGAGTTGCTCACTAAGAGTGTGAATACAAGAGGAGTTTGAGGAATTTTAAAGTCTCTCTTTTCCTCGAAAAAAAATTATGAAGCCATAAATTGAGCCTAAACGAAGTTCATCTACAACAACCAGTGTAATTTAAAACTGAAATGATTTGTAAAGAGCGAGCAATACATACTTGTAGAAATTTTCGAAATAAAAACTAACTACTAACACTTGTTAGTGAGTAGTTAAAGTAGGTATGCAGAATATATGTTGGATGTAGACTTGAATTTATACTGATGTAGGTGAACACATGCAGCGAATAAAAAATTTGACATATAGCAGATAAATAAATTAATTAAAACCTACGTGTTAAACCGGTATATGAGAACATGCCAATTTGAGTAACAATATGTTCCCAGTTTCCAGGTGTCTCCAACTTCCTCAAGCGTTCATAAAGTCCTTGCCTCATTTGACGAACGCGTTCAGCCATAATGACAACACAAGTTTTCCTACATTACAGTTGAGAAATAAAACGAATACAAGATTATCATAGTGAAATAGACCTTCATCTAAAGTGTATAGGTACCTTCTGAACAATCAGAAAAGATGAAGAACGCTAACTATGTGCATAAAACATGTACATTAAAAAAAACTTGATCTAAACTAAGAAACCCCGAAATGGTGAAAATAATAAGAACATTTCTAGTACTAGCATACACTGACAGTAAATTCTGAGCACTAAAAAAGAATCTGCCCAAATACGTTGCTAGGATAAAACATCCATCAATACAAAAGGATGAAATTGTTAGTTCTGAAGTGATGCAAAGCAGACAGGACAGACAGACAAACAAAATCAACATAGAACCTTGCACACAAGTTCATTGGCTCAAGTTATTACACTTCACAGTAGTATTTAGTGAACAAGTGGATAGAAAAAGACTGATATCTAAGTACACAATGGTGTATAGGAGGAAAAGGAATTTGAAATGAAAGTTAGTCAAAACACTCATCCTTTGGAAGACGTCAGTGGGTGAATAGATCTGCACCACCGTCACCGATTGTCAGCCATGTAACCAAGACATCTCCAACCAGTCAGAAACTTTTTGCAATTGTGTAACATCTTATTTTGGTCACCCTGAACCCTCTTCCAATCTAATCCAATTTGTAACAGCACTGCGCATCGAGGTAGGCGGTGACTCGGCATGTGCAAGCTATATCGCTGGAAGATTCATAACCTTATCGACTGACTGTCTTTCCTTGTCTAGTACCCTTTGCCTGACCTTAACGGCATTCACACGGTGATTCCAGAAAGCGTGAACAATGCTATGAAGACACTTTTGATGGTCGGATACCTCAACAGTCGGCGCTACAGATGACGCAAGTTGGCAAATGCCAAGCGGGTCTTCTGTATATGAGCTGAGATGTCGTCACCAACCAACCCGTTCGAGCTGATGCAACTCCCCCAGCAAGTGAAGTGGTTGACACATTCCACCACTTCACCTCCTACCATTAAACTTGAAGTACTTATCATTAGACCAGTACTGGAGCATCATCTTACAATTGACAAGTGAGAAACACATGTTGAGCATACACAGATTTCAGCTCAACGCATCCAAAAGACCCTGTATTTGCCAGCGTCTTCAGCAAGCAGGACAACATCTGCATATTCCAAATCAACTAGATGAGCTCCGGGGAGAAGGTCAATCCCTGTGAAATTGGATGTATCTAAAGCTATATCCATTAGTACGTCTGTAACGAAGTTGAATAGGAATGGTGATAGTTTGGCATCCTTGTGGGACACCACTGGTTGTCATCAACGCTGATGACAACTCTCCATAAGTCAGTTCTTACACGCCCGTGTGAATTCAAGTAGACAGCTTTGATAAGCGCTACATACTTTCTCGGTACACCATTCATGGTCAAATACTGTCACAACACCTCACGGTCGACGGAGTCGAATGACACCTTCAGGTCAAAAAAGATGGCAAATATCGGCCGGTAGGTATGCCTGTGTGTTTCAGAACCTGTCGGAGGGTAAAAATATGATCGATGCACCCTCGTCCAGCTCTGTCTGAAACCTGCCTGGCTATCTCGAGCTTCAGTAGACGTCGGATAACTAAGGAGCCTAGGGTCATGTATACGCTATTAGTCGAACTAATTCCCTTAAGGTTATCACAAGAAAATTCCAACCCTTTCTATAGACTGGGATGAATAATGAAGTACACCAGTCTGACGGCGCTACCTCTGATTCCCATATACTACCTAGTGCATGGTAGTCAACACATTTAACCACTTCACTAGTTATCCTTAAACTAGGAATAGTTACAAACCAATCTTGTAGCATCATTTTACACTTGATAGGGGTGAAACTCATGCCAAACACACTCAGATTTCTGTTCAATATGTTCAGAAGACTCTGGATGTTTTCAGTGTCTTCATCTAACAGGGATATTTCCCTTTATACTAGGCTTTAAACACCTAATCATGAATTGATGTATAAATGCTCAAATAATTATTAGTTGTATTATAAATGTGTATTCGAGTACATGAAACAGTACCTAATCGGTTTTGTCAAACACCAATATACAACATAATCGAGTATGTGCCTATTGTTGGAATGATACCTGTGATAAACAACAGTACTTACTACTCAGTCTTTCAGGTATCAAGAAGATGGTACTTTCGAATGGAACTGTACAGTAACCTTGAATTACTGAGTGTCTAAGCAACAAACAACTATCATTGGATATATTTTCTCTCCTTTTGACATCAAGTATTATTTCAAGCAGGTAAAGAAAAGTAAACAATTACAAGATGCAACACAGAGTACAAGTACACATTCTGCTACCTGCATAGTATCACAACAACAACCGTTTTCATATAGTAGAGGCTAATATTGAATTGTTAAATGCCTCAAGTATAAGCTGTAGAAATTAACAACACAATTTAGATGAAATCAAGAGGATATACCCAGCCCTAAATCTTGTTAACTTGAAGTCACATCTTTGTTTACTAAACGTCTCTCTAATTGAAACTGTAGATTAGATTTGCGAACAATGTACAACGAGTGACCAGTTCACTCTTCAATAGTCATTCATAAGGTCAAATTGATGAAGTGCTCAAGGAATTTTTTGACAAAATTCGAAAATCATCTTTTGGAAGATCGAACTATCAATATGGAGTTGTACTGTCGATAAATAGATCATAGGGTGTTTTAGTCTTTGATAGGTACATATGTATTAATTCTATTCTGAAACCCTTCAACAACACTCATCCATCATTTCATTTTACTTATGAAAATGAAATCAATGATTTCAAACATTTTCTTGACGTACTAATGACAAGATGGTCGTATATTGACAAGTATATACAGAAAAACATACATCTAAGATACAGTATGCACACTTTCTCAGCTTCATGTCGACAAAGTACAAACGTGATGTAATCAGGTGCTTGGCATTTAAAGTAAGATCAATTTATTCCAAGGAGTGTGTGGAAAAAGAACTACTGTGTATTCATGATATTCAAACTGGATATCCTGAAAAGTTCATCAAAGCTAACATCAGTTACAGTAGTCCTAAACAAGAATTGATGACACTGGAGAAAAATCCTTTGTTTGCATGACTATAATTCAAGGGAGACTCTTCAAGTGACATTGTATCGCAACGTCTTGCTAGAGCAGTCAAAAGAATGTTTTATGCCGATCATTTTTGTATATCTTTCAGTAGTCGCCAATTGCTCAATCTGAAACCAGAGGATAGCTTACGTAATCTTAACTGTTCATTTTGCATGTATGGACAAGTTACGTAGGGTGTACGATTAGATAGGTGTGTCTCTGGATACGAGAATATTTACCACCTTGGTTCGGAAATGGTGGAAGTAAGGTGGTGAAAAGTTCCATCTTAGTGCACTAAGTTGACACACAGCATCACATATATGCCAACAGAGTTTTTTAATGTCATACACCAGGTACAAAAAACAGTTGCACGTGTAGTTCGCCATCTGCTCAATATAGCTGAGGCTGTCGCTGTAGAACAGATCAAACCTGAACTTTACATCCAGAAAGAACATATCCAAAGTTATTCCTCGCTTGGCTTTCAGTCATCTAAAGGTCTTTTCATTCACCATCACATTCTTCATCTGAAAAATTAAAAATTTCCTTACACTCGCTAAATCTCACTTCATTATGAAAATGTATTCGCCTCGAACTTGCTATGGAAATCTTTAAATGTTCGATGTCTTTATGATAAAACATGAATTTATGATCAAAATCGCTGGATTAGTAAACAAAGTTTTTTGCTTTATACTATAGACTACAAGTTCGATAAACAGAGGGAGAGTTTCAATAAACCAATGACTTTACACTAATGTAGGCTGAAAATGTTAGTACGGGCTGTAAAATGAAACATCTTTGAGAAACAATGCAAGGGATAGATGGTAGGGGAAGGTTCATCACTATTTATTTATTGAAGATACAAATTTGGTACAATATGGGCACCAAGAGGTATATCATCATCATAACAATTATGTAAATCAATCCCGTACATATTCACTTATGACATAATGAGCCATACGTGTTGTATGAGTCCTTATAACACTACTATCCGGTTGCCTAGGTCGAAGGAGGTGAAGCGAATCTAAAACCCCAGACTCACTAATTAAAAGTCAAGTGAGTTAGGTCACGAATCATACCATTGGGTAAATACAGAACGACAAAGAACTAAAACAGATATGAAGATGATCAGGAAGAAGTATCTGAGAGCCTTCAAATATAAAGAAAATCAATTTTTATCAACTTTTACATCAAATATAGCTAAAAACATCATAATTTACGGTATAGATTCAGAAAAACCAAGTTAGAAAGGGAACGTTCTGAAACATATTGGTCACACTCCCGGGGAAATCATATCCTGGCTACTCATATTCCTTATACCGAATACACATGTTTTAGTATTTAGACAAATACAATACAGATGATAGATGAAAGAGGCGAAAAAACAAAACAATAGCTTTGTTTATGTGCACGGAAGTGAGACAAGTTTGAACTTGTGATTCACTGAATATTTGAGTGTAGTAGTACCAATGAAGAAAATCAGGAATAAGAAAAAAGATTTTTTCAGTTTGGAAGTTTTAAAAAATTTATTTATTGATTTCAGGTTGGTGTTCACCACAAACTGACATCAGTCAGAGAAACGTTAGAGATCTAAGAGCACTAGATAGCTGTTTCGTCTCAATGTGGGACTCCTCAGCAGTGCGTACACATGGTTTCGCCTCACCAGAGACCGAACCCAGACTTGTTCAACTTGTGTTTATCATTGTCAAGAGACCACTAGTACTTCAGTTTTACTTAGCACATAGTTTCCCTGAGGAAGATGTATTAATAGGCTTGGAAGTCCCCTGATTATGAACGTCCAAGTCTTACAATTGGTATCTTATAGATTCTCTTCCACTTCTGCTTTACAACCTATAGAATATAATGTTCATAATAAAGTTATACAACGTACTTTCA